TTTATGTATGTATGTTTATACACATACATCAATACATATGTATTCATACACGTATTTTTTTTCGCACTTCCAGATAGTATTACCAAATTATCAAATCTCTTAGAAGAGTGTTCTCTCTTATTGGCTTATAGAGAAATAAGCACTTACATAAATTAAATCTTCCTAAAATTCCCAGAAATATAAGAACCCACTCAACTGCTTTTCAAGTTCATGTAAGCTGAGTAAATCAAAGATAAATAACACTAGTTTAGTGTTGATTTAATATAAAGGCATGTCTTCAAAACTGTCAAATAAAAAATTTTTATTCTACTCGGTTTATCATTCAAAAAAGCTAATATACCTACTAGATGTTTAAGGTTATAAAAGTAATTAATTAGACTTAAATCAACTTAATCACTATTCTTGATACAGGGCAGCAAGGGGCACTAAAGCTGGCCAATGACACTGCCCTGGCTGAATTCTTCACCTGAGCACACAACTGCAAGACTACTAGGGTTCAGAGCACAACAATAATGGGGTTTACTTAACAAACCAAGGAAAATAAAGAGTTACTGAGGCCTCCAATGGCTGTTTACCGCATCAGAAGCCTAATCCTGCATTAAAGCCCTAAACACAAATGTTCCAAGTTGGTGTCTTCCCCACACTGAGGTCCTGGAGCACAAGCAGCCAGGCTACAGGCTGGGATACAAATCATGAAGACGACAGGAGACACTCACAGAGCTGCTAAGATGTCCCAGCACAGCACCAGGCAAAGATGTTCAAAACTGCAACTATAGCAGCCAAACTACCAGACCCGCCAGTTTAGTAAAGTAGCAGGATATAAAATCAATACACAAAATCAGTAGCCTTCCTATATGCAAACAATCAGTCTGAAGAAGAAATTAAAATTAAAAATCCTTTTTTACAATTGTACCAAAAAAATTAAATACCTGGGGATAAACCTAACAAAGGAGGTGAAAGACTTACACAAAGAAAATTATTAACAAAACATTGTTAAGATTAAAGAAGACACAAAAAAGTGGAAAGATACACCTGCTCATAGGTTAGAAAAATCAACATAGCCAAAATGGCCATCTACGGAAAGCAATGAACAGATTTAACACAATTCTGATGAAAATCTCAATGATATTCTTCATAGAAATAGAACAAATAGGGCCCTCTCTACTGGTGCAACAGGTTAAGGCACAGTACTGAAGCATGAGTTCAATCCCGGCCAAGGAGGTGACCCACATGGCACAGTAGACCTGTCCTGTCTCACTCACTGCTCTTCTCAGCAGTGAACTTTTGTCTGTTCTGCTCCCCATTCTGTGTGTGGTGAATCCTCTCAGCCCCTGCACCCCTGACCTGTACCCCAGTTTTCTGCATAAATAAATAAATCTTAAAAAAAAAGAAATAGAACACATATTGGTAAAATTTATATGGAATCACAAAAAAGCTCAAATAGCCAAAGTTCTCCTTACTTGAATGAAGGAGAAATGGAGGTATCACATGCCCAGACTTCAAACTATACTACAAAGCCGTAATTAAGAGTATGGTATGGTACTGTAACAAAAAGACATACAGATCAATGGAATCAAATTGAAAACCCAGAAATAAAAGGCTCTCATATATGGATAACTAATCTATGACAAAGGAACAAAGAATATGCAATGGAACAAGGAAAATAAATGGTTCAATCAATGGTGCTGGGGAAACTGGACATGCAAAACAGAGAAACTACACTACTACCTCACATGATGCACAAAAACTACTTCAAGTGGATAAAAATATTGAACATGAGACTTAAAATCATAAAATATATAGATAAAACAATAACATACATCTCAGAAACATCTTTAAAGACTCATCCCATAAAACAAAGTGAAGGAAAGGATAAAACAGGTAGGACTACATCAAACTAAAAAGCTTCTGTACAGGAACAGAGACATTAACCAAAACAAAGAGACACACTACTGATTGGGAGAAAAAAATCTGCACACCATACCACGGATAAAGGACTGATTTCAAAGATCTACAAAGACCTCACACAACTCAACAAAAACAAAGCAAACTATCCAAAAAATGGGCAAAAACACACACAAAAAAACACTTTTCCAAAGAGGAAATGCAAATGGCCAATAGGTTTATGAATGTTCAACATCATTTATATCAAGGTGATGAAAATCAAAACCACAGTAGTAAGAATGTCTATATTAGAAAAACTGGCAACAACAAATGCTGGTGAGGATATGGAGAAAAAGGAACTGTCCTACACTGCTGGTGGGAATGCAACTGGTCCAAACACTGTTGAAAGTTGTTTGGAGGCTCCTCAGACTACTAAAAATGGAGTTATTATATGACCCAGCAATTCCACTCCTAGGAATCTACCCAAAGGACACAAAAACACTACCTATGTTTATTGCAGCATTACTTACAATAGCCAAGACATGGAAACAACCCAAATGTCCCAAAACATATGTAATATATATACACAAAAGATGTAGTGTATATACACAATGGAATACTATTCAGCAATCAACAAAGATAAGCTCATGCCATTTGTAACAACATGGATGGAGCTGGAAGGGATCATGCTCAGTGAACTAAGTCAGAAGGAAAAAGAAAAATAACATATGGTTTCCCTTGTCAGAGGAAACTATAAAAGGGATCAGGAAGGGGAAAAAAAGACAAAATTAACAGGCAAACTATAAATCAGAGACACTCAGCAGGGAAGGGGGAGGGATCAAAACAGGGGAGTGATGAGCACAAGAGATTATGGTGATGGTTCATGGGTGTCTTAGTGGTGGTAATTTTTTGGAATTACACCTGAGAGGAGAAATCAAACATTATACAACAATGAACAATGATGCAAAAAATATATGAAAAAGAATAAAGATATCATTTTCACTCTTTTTTTTTTAAAGATTTATTTATTCATACAGAACTGGGGTACAGTCCAGAGATGTGGAGGGTGAGAGGATTCACCAGGGACAGAGCGGGGAGCAGAACAGGCAGATCGATGAAGTACACTGCTGAGGGGAGCAGTGGGCGGGTCAGGAGAGGTCTACCTCGCCATGTGGATCTCCTCCAGGGCAGGCGGGGATCGAACCCATGTGGAAGTGGCTTAAGCTTCTTAGTGCAGTGCTTTAACCCGCTGCACCACCAGGGAGGGCCATCATTTTCACTCTTAAAAGATATTTTCCTGATATGGTTTACTCCTCCATAGTTTTCTGGGCATGTTCCCTAGAGTCTTTTAAAAGGCTTTTAAAAATCCAATCTGAGATTCTTTATGTGGTTGGGGCCCTCCCTGGTGGCACAACGGGTTGAGTGCAGCACTATGAAGCAATCCACAGCCACTGCAGCATGCATTCGGTTCCCAGCCAGGGAGGTGACCCATATGGTGTCACAGACCTCTCCTGTCTCATCTGCTGCTCCCCACAGCAGTGTTTCAGTAGATCTGCATGTTCTGTTCCCCACTCTTTCTGATGAATCCTCGCACCCAACACAACTCTGGCTTGTACCCCAGTTCTTGTATGGGTAAATAAATAAATCTTTAAAAATAAAAGGTTTATGTGGTCAATTAAAGGATTCACCAGAGTCAGAGTGGGGGAGCCAAATAGGCAGATTTACTGCAATACACTTTTGAGGAGAAGCAGAGGGTGAGACGGGGGGGGGGGGTGTCTGTTGTGCCATGTGGGTCAGCCCCCTGACCTGTGGTGGAACTCTTCCTGCAGTGGCTGGTAAAAGTTTTATAGTGCTAAGACTTAACCCCTTCTGCCACCAGGGAGGCCCTTCTATTACCATTCTTGCTGTAAATAATCAGGGCATATTAAAGGAGACCAGAGTATTTTGCAAACAGAATAATTATTCTTTGGTTATCTTTGATCAAAAAAGGAAGTGACTGTAGTTATTTTATGTCTCAATGGAGAAAAATAATATATCTTTAGTGTCTTGTTCATAGTCTTTGAGGTTTTAATACTGACCTGTAAATAGGTCTGTATCCTGTCTTACACATTTTGTTGGCCCTTACCAAATCCTCAATTATTCTAGTTTCCATCAACTCTCCAAATTGATGTTTCCAATTTTCTTCTCTCCCTCCCTCCTAAGTTGAAATCACTGGAAACTAAAATATGACTGCCCAGATCCTTACTGGACCTATGTTTTAGCAGATCCCCCATCTTGGGTCTCAAAAAGTTCTGCAAGCTGAAGCCAGGTAAAAATATATAAATTCACTATGGTGGTGGCACAGGGGTAATTTGGTGATGGGAAACCCGCGGGGATTACAATCGAGATGGAAAAAAAAATGTGCAAAATGATGTAAAAATAAACTTTGTAATAAAAAAAAATATATATATATAAATTCAAACTTAAATTTCACCACCATAGCAAATCATACATGTGTTAACCCTTGCGTCTGGAGCTGCCTCTGCACCAAAGTCCACAGAACTCCCACATTTGTCAAGTTCTACTTCAGTAAAAACCTGGATTGTGGGTCCTCCCTGGTGTGTAACCAGTTAAAGTGTAGCATTATGAAGTTATCTGCAGCCACTGCAGAGTGAATTTGATCCCCGGCCAGGGAGCTGACCCATGTGCGAGGCAGACCTCTCCTGTCTTACCTGCTGCTACCCTCAGAAGTGTACTGTTCTGCTCCCTACTCTGTCTCATACCCTGTACCTCTGGCCTATACCCCAGTTCTTATATGCATAAATAAATAAATCTTTAAAAAGAAAACCTGGATTGTAACGCTGATATACCATAACCACAAACATTCAATTTGGAAACTGGAAAATCCATCTGGTTTGCCACCACTATCTTCACTCCATCAGCTAGACACAGTTAGAGGTCAGGGTCTAAAGTCTTCTCAACTGGTCACCCTGGAGACTCAAAAACTGGGTTTATAGTCAGTCCCAAATAATGGAGGAAAAGAATAGAAAACCTGAAGAAGACATCTCAACAGTAAAGCCTGACTCACACAGGGAAGTGGAGGGGTTACAGGGCAAATGTGAACTGGGTTGCCTTACCGTGGATCCTCACCTGTGCACTGAAGATTCAACTGCAGGCACACAAAAAAAGGTTAATAATGGTTTATTTACAAGAGAAAAAGGAAATGAATGACTCAGGGAAAGAGAGTGGGAGAGATAAGTTAGTTAATGTCCTACTAGTTTCACTGACCTGGCACCCCAATAGCATGCTGAAACCCGGTGAAGAGCCATGAAGCCAAAAGACGCCCAAAGCCCACATGTCTAGTTTTATATCCAAACATCGCAGTTGAACTCCACCCTTACTTAGGACCCAGCACGCTTCCCTTTGGTGTTGCTGGAATTTGTAGTTCCAGTGTCTGGGGTGAGGGTGAAGGCCACAAAACCTGTTTCTGTAGAGTACATTCAGGTCATCCTGTCCCCCTTACAGGGGTAGAAGGTATTAATATGACCATGAACCCAGTCATAGAAATCAAGTCTTAGTGCCTTATCACAGGGCATACAACCCAAACAGGTATCAGACTGCTGCAGGGAGTGTCGGAAGCACAGAACTGAGGGTAAAGATATAGAGAATTGTGAGTCTCAGGTCACTTTAGGATTCCACATAGATCTCCAAAATCAACAGCAAACAGGTCACTCCAAAACAAATGAACACATGCCCAGGAGAAAAGGAGGATATCAGTACAGTCTCTGCACTACACTGAGCAGCTGTCCTCTCTGCCCACCTGTGACTATGCAGGGGCTTCTTTCCACACCCTCTCTCCCTCTGCGGGACAGCAGCCTCCTGCCTGCCCGTGACCTGTACCAGGCCGGGGCTTCTCTGCACTGACCTCCCTCAGCGGAGGCCGCTCTTCTCAGGGCTGCCCACATGCACCCATGCAGGCCTCTCTCAGCAAACCTGTCCCTTTGGGGCAGCTCTTTCCACCTATACAAGTGTTCTTTACTGCTCTGTCCTTTTCCCTAATAAATCTTCACTTTAAATATAACTAACATCTGGAGAACTTGCAGAGTGTCGCTGAAAGGGGAGTACTGGTGAAACCTTTCCCAGAGTGAACCCAAGTACTCTGTACTCCAAACCCACAGATTCCAAAAATGACATCACAACCATTAATTTTTGTTTTTCTTTGCATAGAAAAGTCCTAAGGGCCTGATCACTAGTGTCATCCAGCATTTATCTTCTACTACTAACAGAAGGTTAAGAAGATCTACTGAACAGAATGTAATCAAATGGAAGATGGACTTAGGTTGTTCAGAGGAAAGAAAACCATCACTCCTTTCTTTCAACAAGTGAGGACATGACAGATTATGTCCTTGACCAAGCCCAAATAAGGGCTCCTTTGAGCTCTCTTCTTGTCTAGCCCTCAACCTTAAGGAACAAACACGCAGTTTCTATCAGCACAAGGACACATTCCTAGGATGACTCCTGTCCTAGTGACTGCTTGAGAAAATTCAAAGTTGCCAAATTCCTAAGGATAGGGTCCAGTCTCCCAGACTGGGTCCTCCATGGGAGGGGAGGAACCTAACCTCCAAAAGTCACTTAACAAACTCAGATGAATGTCACAGAGACCAAACCCCATTTCTTCTTTTTGTAATTTTTCACTTCCCTAACTCTTAAACTCCTGCTGTTCCCACTCCTCCTCCCTTTACAATCCCCAGAGCCTCTTGAGCAAATCAGAATGGAACTCCACTCTCTCCCCTATAATCAGTTTTACTGAGGAAAACCTGTCCTTAACACCTTAATAGTGTCAACTGTGTTTATGATACCACTTTCTTTATTGGGTCCGCCTCACTAAAACCCATTTTGGAGTTGGTGAAAAAAGCAAGCACTCAGAGAAGCCTAGTCGGGAACAAAAGAACACAAAAGTCCCTGGCTGGAAAAACCCCAAAGTCTTGTCTGCTACAGGACAGGCTAGAGTGGGTTCTACTTTTTCTCTTATCTCCCTGACCCAGTCTTGTTGCATTTTAGGCTCCAGTCATCCTGTTCTCCTTGCAGTTATTCCTCTCCAAAGGAAAGGCCTGGGGGTAACTCCAATGCTTCAAAGCATTGGACCTGTTGGAGAAATAACTAAGGGCCTCCTAGTCTGAGCCCCTCGATCCTCCCACTCCCCAAGCACTGATCCCAGCTCACTAAGCTTGACAGGCCCTACAGGACCTACGCTGGTAACCTGGTAACAGGTGAAAGACTTCCAACAGAAAAGGATCCCACCTGGGGTGCGGATGATCTGGGTGATCCCCCCTCCCCCAGCTTAATCTGAACTCCTGCTCCCAAATCACAGGTTTGCCACTCCTTCAAGGTCAGATCCTCTCACCAGGATCCTCTCACCAGGATCTTCACTTTCCACCCCTCCACTTCACTCCAGGACAGATCCCCAGATCCCCAATCCTCTAACATGTTCCCCATGCCTGATCCCAAAGGATCCACCCACGGTCGGATCCCTTCATCCTTGCCCACATTCCCTAACACGCCCCAACCCGTCCCCATCCCTCGTTCCAGATAGGGGGCCCCACCTCGGATCGATTTCCTAGACGCAGCCAGAGACCCAGCCCCAGCACTCACGTCTCCCTGGACAACTGTCTCGGGCGACACAGGACGCGACTCGCTGCGAGCGGCTCAGGCAGCTCGGCGGACAGCCCCGCCCTCCCGAGAGGCCCCGCGCGGCAATGGCGGCGTTGGCAGCGGCGCGGCGTGGGACCGACAGCCGCTTCCGGTGGCGAACGCTGGCCCTGGCAGGCAGGGTGCGGGGCGCGGCGAGGGGCGCAGCAGGTAGTGCGGGGGGCCGCGGGGAAGAGTCCGCAGCGTGGGGTGTTCACGTGGGGGAGTCGGGACGGGTGGGGAATGTGCATGTGCAGGAAGGGGTGTTCTAGAGGGATAGTCAGCGTGGGGTGTCCCTTAGGGCAGCAGTCACGGCTGAGACCAGCTTCCAGCGACCCTCAGCCCCTTTCCTGATGAGGGGACAGCTGGGATCATCTGTCAGAGGCCCTGTGTTTGCATAGCTCCTCCCCTAAGTCCAATATTAACCATAACCGTGATGGTGATGGAAGATGAGGTTACCGGGTGTCATCCCCTGCCACCTCCTCTGCCACTGCCAGGAGATCTGGCCCCCGCCCTCCCCCCTCCCCCAGGCCCTAGCATCACACTTGGCAGGTGCTTAAACAGGCATATACAAAATATCAGTGAGGGGAGCTTGGGAACCAGTGGGCTCTGAGCAGCCCTGCCTGCTGTGCGTGCTCTTTGGGGAAGGGAGGCTCATCCTTCTACAGCTACCAAGGCACACTGAGCAAACAGGACAGTACTTACAACTGCCAACACTGGGGGTGCTGCCAGTCCCCAGCGCAAGGAAGGACTGGATGCTAGGTCACTGCAAAGTGCTAGTGCCTCACCCTGCAGCACTGGCTGCACCAGAGCTGGCAATAGTACCCGTATATCTGCTATAGTAACATGGCCAGTCCCTCGCATGAAGATGTGACTGAGGGAGGAAGAGTGGCCAGGGTCTCAGCCAGCACTGGGCTGGGCCGCAAGGACTGACCACATGTATAAATGGGAAAAACTGTGCTGCCTTGCCCTTGGAGAACCTAGCAGTTTGTGTAACCCTGCAGAGTTCTAGGAAGTGATAACTAGAAATGTGAAGTAGGGTGAAGTTGCTATTGTTAGGGTGAGTTTGCTGACCCTGACCAAGGTATCCTATTTTGCTGCATGTGTCAAGTGGGATACTGAGAATTAAACACACATGCACAGTGAGCCTTTGACCTGCCTGATGCAGGTCAAGAACTCTGTGAACGGGAGTTGCCATTCCCAGAGTCCTTCAGGCTGCTTGCTGGTAAACATAGCCTTGGAGCAGTTTCATTTCCAGCTGGGCAGGAAGTGTGTCCCCAAGATTTTGTCCCTTTGGCCTACAAGGGTCCCTGGCAGCCAAAGGAAGCCCTAAGGCTGCAACAGTGAGGAACTGATAGCAGTAGGGCCTGGAGACAGTGTCAGGCCCCAACAAGGACACTCAGGAATTTGTGCTTTCTCCATTTCGACCCTAAAGCTTCTCTGAGAACAGAACTCCTGCTCCATCCCAGGCTTAGGGGTGGCCAATGCATTCTCTGAACAGAGAAGCCAAAATGATAATCATCCACAATGGTTTCCTAATGCCTGCTACCCAGAAAGAGCTTATGGTGGAAGGACAGCCAAACGGGCTCTCCAAAGTGGCTGGGGCACCCCTAGGCATACAAGGAACTTCCACTTGCCCTCCCAGGGCAGTGTGCCATTCACTCTGCCTTGCTACACTCACTGGGCTTCTGTTGCTGACCTTTTAGCAGTCACCAAGTTCATAGAGATTGTGGCAGTTTGCTCTCCTGTGTCCCACCCAGGATACACTCAGAACACAGAGGCAAGCCTGATCTTTTTCTTTTCAAGATTTACTTATTTATGCATACAGAACTAGGATTCGGGCCAAAAGTGCAGGGGCGGTGAGAGGCTTCACCAGAGACAGAGTGAGGAGCAGAACAGGCCAACTGAGAAGCACACTGCTGCGGGGAGCAGCAGGTGAGACAGAGGGGGTCTGCTGCGCCCTGGGGGTCACCCCCGGGGCTGGAGAGGTGCGGCCTAGGGTGTCCCTGGAGTGGCTATTGCATCTAATGCTGTACTTTAACCCACCAGGGAGGGCCCAAGACTGACCTTTTTTTCTGTGTCTTAATAGTGGTGAGTTGTGAGGACCAAGGGAAAGCCAGCAATGATGGGGAAGGCCAGAGTGCACAGCTGTGTAACACACACAGATCTGTGGTTTCCCGCCCCTGAAGGGTGCTTCCTTCTAGCAGACTACTCAAACTCTCCCACTGCTTTTTTCCCATACATACAGAAGATGCTACTCCTGTCCTCTTCTAAGTGTATTATCAAACTGAGCAAGCTCATGAGTGGGACACAAGGAGCTAATTGCCACAGATAAGTCCTCAGTCCATATAACCAACCACTCACCCTGCCTTCTGCCTAATAACAGAGGTTGCAAGGCAAGGACACCCGTTGGAACCCTGCAGTAGTGACTGGAAGGACAGTAACCTTCCATGGAAAGTAGGGATGTCCTCTTGGGACAAGCCTTACCCCACTCCCCCCAGCAGGTGGAGGGAGATGAGAGAGAACCCATTCTTCTCCTGGAGCCCAACAGTACCATTTCTCCAACCAATATTTGGTCCTTGGTTCTTTGGGCTCATATCAAAGCCATCAGAATAACCCAACAATGTAGGCTTCTTCAGTGCCCTTGAGTTGCATTTGGAATTGGGCCTAAGTTAGACCAGCTGCTTGAACTGAGTTGTGGCCCCATTAGATCCTACATATACATGCATTTGCAACATTTGAGTCTTCAAACTCCACCTGCTGGAAGGAGTCTGGGGTGGGCCTGGCTGCAGGGTGGGGACAGCTGGGTGTCTCCATAGGGCAGGAGGCTGCAAGTCATGGCTAACCATCTAGACACAACTCCTGGACTTCCTCAGTTGAAAACTGAGGCCTTCTCCAGGTGTGACTCCAGTGTCCCTGCAGATATGCCGGTCCTGGACTCCTATCTGAAGGATGTTTGCAAAGCTAGGGCCTCTGAAGAATGTGGGACTCACCATATTCTCTGCAGACTTGCCCCTCAGGAGGTAGCTACCTCCTGCAAAGACACATGCAAGCCTTCCAGTTGTCAGGCCTCAAATTCTGATGCTGCTGTGGAGGGGATCAGATATCTTGCCTCAGGCAGCAGACCCTACTTGATGATGAGACTCTGGGCTTTGTCCAAAAGCAGCAGCCTGCTCCATGGCCTCCCCATATACCCATATACTGATAAATTTTTATTATTTTTACCTTCCTCCCCAGGGAGCAGGCCAGTGCTTGGCTTGGTGTCCCAACTTGGGCACTAGGTCAGTGCTCTCATTCACCTACTCCCTCCCTCCCTTGCTGTCTCTTGCCTGCCACCATACTAGGAGTTGACAGAAGAGAGACAGATAATGCCTTCTGAGGGGCAAGAAAGAGGCAAATGGTCCTGCATGCCTGCAAGACCAATCCAGGAGGAACCAGGCAGCAGCTCTGCTGTTGCTTCAGTGTTGCTTCCTCCTGGAGCCCACCATGCACAAAGCAATCTCCAAGAGTCTTCTCTGGTAACCAAGGGTCTTCACCCTTCAACAGATGGACTCAAGAAAAGTGTCATAACCCTGAGTCTGGCTCACATGGCAGGTGAACTTTGAGTTCAACATAGTCTTGCCAATTAGATTACCTTCTTGATTTGGTGGTGGAATCTTGGAAAAACACTCCTGAGGCCAACCTCACCTCTGCATCACTAAGTCTGGGAATTTGTGTAGACATATACCCAGACCTCCCAGATGTGTGATGTGCTGTCACCACAGCTCATCACATCTGAACCCATAAAATAGATCCCCTAATTAAATATTAATTAAATATCTCATTTAATTGGATAAAGCAGCTAGCTGCTTGAAATTGTGGTACCTTCCAGATCTGTGCTCACTGCCTCACCTCTCTCCCCTTACCCCAGCAGGACAGCAGTACTATGACCTTCTAGTGATTGGAGGGGGATCTGGTGGCCTGGCCTGTGCCAAGGAAGGTACGTATCCTATGTTCTATGTTCCTCCAGTGTGTAGGACCTCACAGCTTTTGGAAGCCCCCGGAGAGGGCAGTATTGTGCGCCTGAGTGGGGATGCTCCCTACAGCTCACCTGCCATTCCCCAGATCCCTTGCACCCTGCTGGGGTCACCTCTGCAGCTTCATTGCTGAGCCTGTTCCACACCCCTCAGCAGCATCTCTTGCTGCTTTGGCCTTGGCCTTCTTGCTGTTCTGCAAATGCTTTTGGGAAGTTCTTTATAGTCTTGCACCTTGCCCTGACTATCTGCTCTGCTGGGCTGCACTTTGATGACCTGGTTAGTGGTAGAACTCACTCACTTCCCTTTGGTAGCTTCTGCTGTAATGTCCTCCTAGAGTTGTAGTCCTCCTGCTTGACACTGTTAACCCATCTGGACCCTGGCACACTCCACTTGTTCTTAGGGCTGACACTGTCCTGCAGATATCATGGTTTATTCTGCCAGACATTTAATGCTCTTATGGGTCCAACACCCAGGAATGCTCAGTAAATATGTGTTAAATGAACAGACGGGATCCAGAGACATCCAGTGATGTCATGCTGAAGTTTGCTGCTAGTCTGGGAGGGAAGCAGATAGCTAGTGTTCACAAGGAGCTCTGTGCTCGCTATAGGAGTGCCCAGCAATAAGAAATCAAATAAGTAGGGAAGGAAGAGGGAAATAACAGTAGAAAAATGGCCCAAAGAGAGAAAATGAAGCCTGGTCAGAGGACCCTGACCATGAAACTGGTCCTCTGATGTTAGTACTGGGTTCTAGAATCACAAATTACCATAGAAGAAGAAAGTCACTGTCCACTGCTCTTATTCTAAGGGACTAAGGGTAGGTTGTTGGCCTGCAGTAGGGGGCAGGAACCTGGGCAGTCTCCCAGAGGGACTTGCTGTCCCCATTCCATTGGATCACAAAGTCACCCCAGAGACAGACTTCACAGATGGCCAATTGTCTCAGTGATGTTCCTTAAGGCACAAAAAAGTGTCCATTCCACTCTTGTTTCTCTGGGATACAGCTCCATTAATCTGTAGCAGTTCCTGGGTCTGTTTTTGTCTCTTATAACAGTGGCATATCTTCCTGTGGATGACTGTGCTTTTTTATTTTTTTTAAAGATTTATTTATTTATTCATATGGAACTGGGGTACAGGCCAGAGATGTGGAGGGTGAGAGGATTCACCAAAGACAGAGTGGGGAGCAGAACAGGCAAATCGACGAAGTGCACTGCA